AGAAATCAATCTAAGCCTATTGATTTACAGGACTTCGCGAAATGCACAACAATGCGCCCCTGGCCATCACGGCATCGCGTGCAAAAGGGTACGATATGGGCTTGCTAGCGATTTTGGAGAAGCCGGATGATGTCCAGGTGTATGCGGCGCATCCAGCGCATCAGGTGTATGTCGACCAATACGACCTTTTATACCCTCCAGCTTTGGTTTTTTTTTTTTTTTTTTTAATTATTATTATTATTATTATTTTATTTCCCCCTACTACTAGTTTCCGTTTTGCCTAACCTGTTTATGTAATTTGTAGGGTGCAAAAGATACGAGAGGAGATATGTGAAGACTCCCTGGCGTATGATATGGAGTTTTAGTCATGGAAGAGGAGGAGTGTGTTTTCTGTTGTTTAAGGGCCTACGAAATTTAGTAACAACCGGAAAATGAATGATGAATAGTTACCTAGAAATTTCTAATGAATTATTTGTGAAATTAAGATGAGAGACCTTCTGTAGACATGTGGAACTACTAGTTATAACGGCTGCGATTGGAGAATATGCCCCCAAGGCTTGCTGGCAGGTACGAGAGACGGGGTGAGGGGATCCAGAAGCAATAAAGCCACCTGCTGCAGCAGATTGGAATACCTATCTAATTAACAAAAATTCCTTATTCTTTTGCTCTATCAACTTGAAATAATCCCGTATGTACCGTCGACTCGCGTAGACTCTTGCCCTTTCAAATGAGTGGAAGAAAGGACATATTGGACATCAGACATATCATGGCCATGATGATAGTGTTATCTTTCAATCCGTTGTGGTCAAGCCAGGGCCTTCAGAGAACACATCCAAGTTAGTTATGTGCATATAAACTTGAATATTTAACAGAACGATACTGACTAATGAATGTGAACCCGCAACCGATCATATTTTGGATTAATAGCATGAGAACCAGACTATCGGGGGCGATATGCGGATAGCAGTATACATCATATGTAATTGCAACTGCGCCGCCGCTTCCGCTTCCAATCCCAAATGCCACAAAGTCCATTACAAATCATACTGGAAGGAACCACATAACCCCATTGAATACCCCTAGACATGCATGAGGAGCCTACCGGTATTGATGAGCGCAGGAACAAGCATAGTCCAAAACATGAATTCAGGTTCTAGAATTCCCTTGTTGCTTCTGGAGAGGAAAAAATGCACCTGTCAGACGCATAGCCACCCCATAACATGCCTAGGACTCCACCAACGAAGGAGGAGAAGTTGGTGTTGCCAACGTTGCTCATGTTGAAGTTGTACGGGGACCCACTGAAAATTTCAGACTGTCACGTAGATCAAAGATAACCGCATAATTTGTACGCCGCACATGAAACCCGCCCAAATGACTGTTGGGTACGTGACAAGCATGGACGGGGTGATAGCAATGCGCCATGGAGGTTGTGGGTCACTCTGAGAGGTGTTATACAGCGTCATTCGCTGCCAGTATGTTTTCTGTGCAAGTGGAGTTGAAGACTTGCAGATGCTACCACTTTATCCGAATGGCTCGAGGATATTCGTTTTCCCGTCTTCTCAACTGCATCTTTGTAAGATGGGATATCGTGGCTGTGTTTCCAGAAATCACAGAAGATGTAGGTGGTCTGAGAAATACAGATTCTTCCATTGTCAAGAGTTGGATGACCAGAAGAACACCGAAGAAATGATCAGGTAGTTGTAACACCATCGCCAGCCTTAAGAATCAGCGATACATCCCGCAGTGATGGGACCAAGGTATAGCTCAGCATATATCGTGAATACATATAAGCTCAATCTGGTGCCTTTCTCATGTGCAAAGAATATGTCAGTCGTCATGATTTGAACCAGAGAGTCCACTGGAGCGGCACCAAACACTGTAAGGACATTTACAACCCAGAGCATCTAGACATTGCCTGAAGGTTCCTAACACGTAGCCTAAAAGATTTAGAAGATGTCCAAAGAAGATGTCCAACAAGATAGACCGGTCATCGGCCAATCTTCATGGTTATGAGCTGCAAAATGACACAGCCTAACCCAAGGAAAAGAAAACAAAACGCCGAAGCAATGCTCAATTAAAAATACGTTGTCTTCAGATCAATAGTGAATTGGGTCTATCGCCTATCAGTTAACCCAATTTACAGATGCTGCAGCCAGAAACCCCCAGATCCAAAGAATCCAAAAGTGATCCTCGTTGCGGAGCTTGCTCCATTTGAGTGAATCACTCCGGTCGTTTGAAGGTTGAGGCACCAAGACGATTTCGGAATTTCTACCATTTTCATTTATTTACGTTCATTGTCCCTTCCGCTAAACACATTGGCCTGCGTCAGCCTCTATTTAACTTCATATGAATCAGGTTGAAGAGATAATAGATAACCTATAATCGACAACGTGTATTGTCCCGGGGACCTTTTTTACGTCTTCAATCGCTTCGAATTCCATGGTTTTGGCGGTGCTGGTTCGGCGCTGATGATAGGTATGCTTTTGGAGAGGACGCGCCAATTGTACAGTTCAATTGTAGATATTCACAAATGCAAGCGTCCTATGTATCCCATGCCATGGAACACTCTACCAAAATTTGCAATTCCTAACCCTATATGCCGAGGGAAGGATGACCACAAAAGGCAAGGAGTCAGAAGGAGCCAGCTTCATTAATCACGGATCATGATACCCGAGTTGAAGCCGTAGAGGAGTAATTGGGCAAAGCCGCCGAAGCAGGGAAAGGATTGTTGCATATTAACCTGCTCGATTCAAGGGTTGGTAGTGATTCGCGCAGAGATATCAATATTTAGATCCATTCCTCTACAGCTGAAGAAGCAGAGTCGAAAAGATGTCACGTCAAGCCCGGCTCCAATTAGCACATTTCCCTCGCTTGACTTGGTGCGACAGAACAGCTTCATAGCCGAAGAACTCCCCGTTGGGCTTGTTGGAAGCCTGCTCACCATTTATGGGAGAGATGGGGAGATTTCCATAGAGTTCTCCACTCTGTGGTTGCATAAGGGGGTCATCTGTTGTCACTAACTCACCTTATCACAAATAGAGTGAGTGTGAGATAGTTAAAGATACTTAAACAAACCCCGATGCTTTATTCGATAACTAACTACGCAGCACTTGAAACATTGTGAGACGAACAGACTGAGTGTTGAATGCGGAGGCGGGGATTGGTTAGAGGGACATTCGATGGGTCCACTCAACCCCAGTTTATCAAAGGATACACGCGAGCGCCTTTATGCGCACCGTATTAATGTCTGAGGCACACGACGCGCCAGATCCAGCCGAAAATATAAAATTGCTCAACAACCAGAGATTTCACCACAAGGCAAGAAAATATCCACGGATGTTTGGATCTTCATTGTGACAAGATTCGGTGACTCGACAGTTGCGAATGTTCCGTCATAGCTGAGTTCACATCAGCATATCACAACAAGCATGCAATTCATATGGGATCAATGAGCAATCCGAAAAAAATAAAATAATAAAAAAATAAAAAATAGTCGACGGCTCTTATTTTAACTATCCCTGGAAGACCGGCTTTTTTCAGGTAACAATGGTTGAAGGGAAACCCCTCCATTGCGTGGTCGACCCAGGCGCAGCAGAAATGTCTCTTAGGTTCAACTCGCCAAACCATCGAACAAAACAAAGAAAGCAAATGGATCCAGAATCGAAATTCGGGATGTTGACTTGGCATTCGGATAACGAACGTATCTTTGGTCATTTCTGCTAATACTGCAGGCCAATCCAGCAGCCAGAATTAGCTGAAAGCGCTCCCCGAATCCGTTTCCAGAAACCGGGGGCCGCATTGATCTGCAGCTTATCTCGATCTTCACAGCTTCTTCCGGACTAGGAGAGGAAGTCAAACCGATTGACGGGAAACCCTGGAATTGGCAGACTGAATTCTATTATTGTCGCCCTTAACTTCATTATTAAATCTTGGCAAAGACGCTGGCCTTTTCACCTAGATGAGCGGCATGGAGACAGAGCACACTGCTGAGTGCATGCTTGCATTGACAGCGGATTCTGCATTATCCCATGCATCCCGAAGTCGCAACTCACAATACGCGCAGGGATTGGTCAACCAAATGTTTCGAAAGGCAGGGCAAGCAGGCTGAAGTGCCGCTAAATTCTAGCTAATGACGAGCTAACCCGGGAAGGTCATCACATCACTTCTTTGGGCTCGGGTTTTTGTCATTTTGCAGAGGGGGCCAGAACGAACACTCTCTCGCCAACGGATGCCCAGGAACTTGGCCTTTTCATATTTTATGGCCGTTACTTTACTTTTTTTGACATATCGGGGGTTAACTTCAGTCTCCGGGACACAGCACACAAACTGAAAACAGGATGTGTTGCTGGTAACGACAGGAGACTATAAAGGCTGCCACCGTCTACCCCATCTCACGACCGTTAATTAACTATCAATCTTATCTATCATGAGAGGAGGATAGCCAACTTGATGAAGCGATCGATCGGTCCCGAACTAGCTGTCATCGAAGCTTCTCGCTGCACGGATCGCCGATAAGACCCAACGACTATTTTCAGCTGCTACAAAGAATCCTCACCTATTGCAAGATCCCAGAATTGATCAACTATAAACCCGTTTTTGAGCGGCCATTGGTGACCATCAGCACTGCCCAAAAATCATTATTTTCGAAATCTCCAACTGTGTTGATGACTTGGGACGATGATCAGGTCGGTTCCCACGTCCGCTGACCTTTTTCCGTCATATTCTTCTCCTCAATCTGGCACCCCCGTAATTAAACATAATCATAAAACACCGAAATTTTCCCGAGTTCTCTTTTTCCTTGTCCAAGTTATTGATGAAAGGCTATCCCTTTCAACTATCCCTTTCAGACACTTACGTATATTATCCCCCCGGGTCCCGCTGCATTCCCCGCCTTCGAATTGTATATAAAATATGTCCTTACCAGCATCAATCCACAAGCTATGCTGCACATCTTGTCTCGAGTTGACTGACAATGCAAATAGCCAGCGTGAAATCTTGCGATGGCCTCCCTTCTTGCTGGGCTGGAAACTCCACTTCTCAAAGTCAGCCGGCCAGTGGCAGCATGCTCTAGGTGCCGCACAGCCAAAATAAAATGTGACGGCAAACTTCCTGCTTGCTCTGCCTGCGAACGTGCTGGTAAAGCCTCTACTTGCCCCGGAGCAACCGATGAATTTGCCAAGGGAAAGGAACGGAGCTATGTGGCCGCTCTCGAAGGCCAGTGTGAACGGCTAGAGAAAGAAATTGCGGAAGCGAAACGTCGTCGACAGAAATCTATCTTAGAAGGGGCTCCATTGATGGACAGGAGCGGCAACGCGATGCAGGTAATCTCTCAAAGTAGGAAAAAAGCTCATCTCAAAGAGGCTTCCGATATTGATGATCTGGTAGGGGATTTTGGCTTTCTGTAAGTTGTTAGATTGGCGCACATTCATTCCTTGATTTCTAAAGCTGATATTGATTCCAGATCTGTCAACGCAACTTCGAGGGATTTTCATGGAATCACCTCTTCAACGTCTTTTGCAGGGCTCCTTTTAGCAGTAGCTGTGGCAAAGCCATTACAGAATACAGCTGAAAGCAGGGACCTCCCGCCACGTGCAGAATCTTCTACTGTTGTTCAATATTACCTCGACAATATCTATGTTCTAACCCCCTTTTTTATACAAACTAGCTTTTGGGCTTCATTTGATGTGGTATATCAGGAAGGGGGCCGGTTCGCCAAAAGCTTTGATCATTGGATTGTACATCTTGTTCTTGCTATCTCTCGGGCTTCAACATCGCATTCTCAATTGGCGAGACACCACGTTTCGATAGCACTAAGATATGCTGAAGACGTTCTTCATCCTGGAGTGATTGTTGGCATTCAAGCCATCTTATTGCTAGCACAATATTCAATGCTTGATCCTGAGCATTTCAGACCTTGGTACTTGGTCGGGAGTGCCGCCAGAGTGGTATCTGATCTTGGGATCCACCAAGAGCAACTCTCAGAAACAAACATTGATGAATGTTTGGTAGACCTTCGGCGCAGGGTGTTTCATTGCGTCCATTCTTTGGATAGGTAAGCGGGCGGCCAATCTATATACTTTTTAAAATATTAATTTTCTCCAGATATTTAAGTATCGCAATTGGAAGAGCATGCTCGTTCTCGGATGACTCGGCAAATGTTCCTCTTCCAGAACTTCCACCACAATCGGGTGAACGAATACCTAACTTGAACACTCCTCTATTTGCAAATAGAATCGAGCCAGCCATTCACCTGTTCAAAATCCGTAGTATCCAATCAAAAGCATATCACACGGTGTTTTTTAGTGGCCGGGATCCCGCCCTGGACCGTTCCTTGTATATATGGGAGCTCTGCGCAGAAGCTCAAAGCTGGTTCAGTGCAATACCTAAAACGGTGCAAACCCATCTCATGATATTTTATCATTTGGAGCTTCTCTACACCTTTGTTATCCTTCTCTCCCCATCAACTCACAACCCGCTCGTAAGCACACTGCATCGCGTCCTATTATTCGAATACACCATCAAATTCATCACACAAATGCACCAAATAGTCAACGCCGTCAAATGGCCACTGGCTCTCTCCTACGTCGATATTCAACGAGTGTCGACGGTCGCGAGCAAATTTCTAGACGCCACCAACCAGGCCTATGACGAAATACTTTTTGGCACTTTTCCTGAACCACCCATATCCATGTCTCTGGGAGCACACCATCCTCCGTATATACGTCCAGCAGATCGAACCGATTCCGTTGGCCGGGCGCTGAGATGCCTATTTGAAATCCGATCTATTTTGGAATATGCCCATTCCCGCTGGAATGTGCGGACATTGTTGGACGAATTCCAGACATCTTCCGGGTGTCTGGAAAAGAGGCTATTACAGAGCCAAGCTCAGGATCACCGACCACTTTTGAATCTAGTTCCGCCTGCTTCTCCTATCTTTCCCAACCAAGCGTATCCCATGTACCCAATTCCACCAACATATATGCTGCAGCAGCGACAGGATCTACCTCCTCCCCCCTCTAATTTGCATATACAAAATGGCCATCAGAGATACTGATGTTGCATATCAAAGATTTTCGGAAGGGGATTATGGATTATCATTTCTTATGTTATCTGATTAGACGAAGTCGAGTTGCGAAATGCTGCATCGGAAATAAAACGTGCATTGTTATGTGGACCCACAGCAACCCCATGAATGAAGGAGAGGTTAAGGAGCAACTCACATTAACTGTCGCAGGAGGTATTTGTATCTTCGTACTTTCCAAATCCAAACCACCATTTACTTTACATTGGTGTTTTGAAGGATATTCTCTCTCCGCTTGGGTATCTACCAGAGATTTCCGATCTTAGTAGCCCTTCCCCAGCCTCCATATCAATACCAACTTTTGAATATCTATACTTGCTCTTCTTCCACCACTTTTTCATTTTCTAATTCACGTTCAAATCATGGAATGGTTCAGTGCTAAGAGTAGATGGCGAAATCATATTGCTAAGGTTATGTACGCATATGAGATAAACCCTCAAATGAGAAACTATTTCTATTGTCATCCTGTGTTAAGTACTTCCTTTATTACCGTAAACGAAGAAGACCTCACAAGGAAGGTAAACGCGATTGATTCTTTGTAGAATAACCAACTTGCTTTCCTAGAAGTCCTTCTGCTCCTCAATGTAATTCATGTATCATAAAATGATATTCAAATATCATCCCCAAATTCGAGGGCACTTGATGCTAGCTGACTGACAGAAGAAAAGGGCAGATAGAGGGCAGATAAGCAAAAGAATTTCCACTCGAGGAAACCCCAAACACAACTCAAATGTAAGTTGAGCTGTTAAACAGTATCCCCATAGGGAGTGGGAAGAGACCTAGGGAAACAAAAACCTAGAGTGAATCATAGCTATTTCCCTTAAGAGATAAAGAAAATTATTGAAACATCAGCATCACCATCGCTGCCAGAAGAAGCTGGTATCGTAAGTTAGACTCACTTCGAGTGCTCAGTCAACTTTCGCAAAATCACTGGACGTATAAATTTTGAAATTCTCCCAATGAAAAAGAACGTGAAGATCTCCTAGCTCCAGATTTTGCACAAGAGATAGGAGACGATCTAACGAGAACCCAAACTACCACTGCTAGAACGTTGGGGACTGCGAGGTTCATTACCGCTCACACTACGTCTTGTGAGTCTCCTCCTTCCTCCTTAAGAATAAGATGGTAAAGCTCGCCATTCAATGCGTTGGGCTAATGGTTCGTTGAGCCGACAAACCTGGCGACATTTACCATTTTTCCAAGTCGATTCAAACAACGTTGTCCATGAATATTGTTGGAACGGTTTAGTGCTGGTGTCGACGACCGATAGGTGTATATTAGAATGAGAGAACTGCACAAAGTTGGGGTTATAAAATGTTATATGTACCTTCGCTGTGTCTCAATCGACTTTTCCTTCCAATGCAACCAGGAAGTGAAGGGTCAAGTCAAGCTTGGGTAGCCTGTGTGGGCTGCCTGGTAGACGCTAGCGATTGTCAATGAAATACGACTTAAGCTCATCTCCATCGAGAAACTCTGGGGTTTTCACGTTGGTCCATTCCGATTAAGAATCGCTTGCTCGAGCAGCTGCTTTGAATGCGCAGAACTCGTGAAAGAACTCGATTAAAGTGCAGCTTACTCCAACCTTCGTAAACACAAATGTGACTAGACTTATTGAAAGCAGAATGCACAGCATCAACAGTATTCCCAAGTGTCAAAATCTTCTCTGTGCGACAATCCTCAAACCCAGCTAATTTTGCCGTTTTGCAAAGTGATCGAACTGCCACATGGTTTCGAACTGTTCTGCGGTCAGCGCATAGTTACTATAACGGGTGTAATAGGTAGTCAAGGACTGATATGGTAGATTTTCGATGGACTTGGGAGAGGATTCTTGTCGATTGCCAATACCAACACGATACTCATGAATGGGGTCGCCACCCTGATTTGCGGGCAAGGGACCTGGGATGTAAATTTGCTTGGACGACAAAACAGCATGGGAGAGAGGACGAGAAACTGTAATAATAACTTCACGTTCTTCAGCGTCCGAGCGGGGCCCGACAAGATGGTGGAGGTTTGATGACTCGAATGCATTCTTGAATTTTAGCTGCCATGGAATTATAACGCAATAACTAAAAACTTGGAGGTTGAGGCTCTATTGGGTATAAAGGTAAATGGGACGAAGAAGGTAGGAAATGTGATGAAGGGAGATGGAAAGGGGGGGTATGAAATAGATGAGAGAACACAGGTACTGGGTGAACAAAGCAGACAAGAACACAAAATTTATCTCCAAAGAAAGAATCAAGACAAAGAAACTGTGACATAATGTGGTTCAACACCGAGATATGAAACGAGCGTTGAGACCCATAAATATAGTCAAAACATGGAGATGTGACGAGGTGAGATCTCTCACAGCAGTCTGAAAAGCTTATTCTCACTATTCCCCTCAACGTTGGCGGTATAGGAGCAGATATAGAGAAAAACAGCAAGCCTTTCTCGTCTCCTTCCCCAGGAGAACAGAACGATGAGATGGTGGAATGTGCTTGCCGGGGATTATCGACAAGGGAAATTCTCCGGGAGCAGAAACAACAAACAACTCGAAATGGGGGGGGGGAGGGGGAAAAAAGACGTGTTAAGTAATAACAAAGTGGATAAGAATATGAAGAGGTTGCACACACACACACACACATAGAGGATCCCTTACTCTGTGCTCATCCGTTGGTATGTATTAAAATTGGATATTGATTCCCTATAGTTATAGTTTTGGACACGGGCTTCCGATTCCGCCATAATTGCCTCTTCCCTTTGAGCGATGCTACATTCTTGGAGCCGATCCTCGGTATGGATGGTGTGGGGAATTGCGATGACCGCCCTTCTAGGGCGGGGGGTTTGTTTGATTCCTCGCTCAGTCTTAACACAACGACATCGAGAACACCAGTACATTTCACCACATGTTGAAATGCAGGGACAACAATTGGATACGATAGCTGAACATGAACGCATTAATCCAGAATACGCTGTGCTGTTTGCCCCTCCGGAATCAATAGAGGATCGAGCTGGGGGTGTCGAGTCAACTGCCGCAACTGATAAGTTAATAAACCCGGGAATTCCATCTCGCAATGGCATACGACGCGTACTTGGTGATCTAGAAACATGCGCCGAAGATCTCCTGATCTTCGTCTCGAGTTCGGACTCAGAACAGCGTGTTCTGATTTCCAGGTCGAAGTTACGGTCATGCAGAGAGGCAATATTTTCGATTATCCGATGGTTCGAAACGCAACGCAAAGATATACGCATCTCGCACGGAAAGAATCCTTATTCACCGAACAGCAATCTGGAAGATGGCTCTCCAGCAGGAACACCGGATAACGGGGTAGGTCCCCGCAACAAACGAGCGGCAATCGGCATTTCAGAGCAGCAGCAACTCTGTGAGGCAAACGTTTGCCGCTCCGTCAAATCCTCACAAGCATGTGCCAAAGCCAGAAGCATGACAAGGGAAGAGATAAAACTATGCAGCATGTGTAGACCACGAAACGAGGGACTCATCAGAAAACACTGTGCGAAACAACACCAACCGCAACAGAATGTCCTCTACATTCTTCTGGCATTACTCGCTGCGCTATCTGGAGCTGCAGGAGTATTTGTGCTTATTCGCAAAGCAAAAGGGCAGCGGAGCGAACTTAGACCAGGTCCCTGTCCCTCATTCAACAGCCAACAGGGAATTCTGAGACAGGGCGTCATCACGGGTATCCAAAGATCAAGAAGCTTAATTGGTATGCCTGACGTGGAAAAGAACCCTGGGATAGGAAGTAACAGACCCCAACTACAAACCCGGTCATTACATGGCTCCCAGAGGGGTATAACAGATGCTGAAATGCAAATGTACAATCATGAAGGCCAGGGTTCTCGCCAGTTAGCCCATAGCGATTCGTTGAAACTTCGAGGAGGGACAGGGAAGAAAAGACCAACAACACCAACCGCTTGTATCCAGACACAGACGCTTCATAGTTTTTGAGGCGGTTCATGCTAGCCTAGTGCTAAAAGATTGGGAGATCTGTGCCCACTTCTATTCTTCTGAAATGCTGATGGAACAAGAAGATGTCGCAGGTGTGGTCATTTTGAATATGCATATGCAGCAATCTCTGGTGAGAGATTGGGGTAATGGGGTTGTGCCCCATGGCTTTCTTTGGTGGGGTAATATTCTGGAGTTGGGGTAAATTAACTAGTTATAGCAACGGTTTTTGTATTCTTAGCTCATGATGGGACTTATCCCCTCATGATGAATTAGTTGAGCTGTTGATGTGGTATCAAACACTGAGTTAGAAGAATTGTCATTTGAGCGTTCAGGTGCTAGTTAATTCGACATGATGCACCAGTTAGCCTCAATGCACTTCCTCGGGTAGTGATCATCTCAAGCAAGGAAGCAATCAATTCGAAATATTTCAAAAGACTAGATTTTAACTTGAACTATTTGCACTTAGTAGTAAAGTTAAGTTTAACATTAAAAATAGTATAAAATTAAGTATAGTTATATATAATTTTATAGAAAATAAATAAATAAATAAATAATAATTTATATAAACTCATATAAATATAATATAATATAAAAGATGTTTTATTATTTTATATTTTATATTTTGTATTTATAACATTCTCATGCGTTGAAGTTTATTAGTTAAAAATCAAAGTAGATTAATTTTAATAAACTACTTGTTTAAATACTAATTAAAAATTATAACTAGTTATAACTAAGTTAAAATAAAAAAAATGTATTATATAAGCATGTAGCACGTTGAAATTCGACCTTTTTCTAAAACTTTAATAGCTAATACAGTTCTATCTTCCTATAGCAGGCTTGACTGCATATTGTTGTCGACATATTGACAAAGAGGTTGATAAACGCGTCGCGTGTGGAGAAGTGAACCAGAAGGTGGCGGATCACGGTTAGTTAGTAAGCTCCACTAAGTTAGCTCCTTGTTGCGAACCACTAGTTACCATCTTAAATACAGGGATGCACTCCGCTGAGACTCATCTACCATGGAACCGATTTCGAAGCTGCACAATCCCTGACGAGTTGTTACTATTCAATCTCACTGTCGAATTAAACACACACACACACACAAGGGAAGAAGGAAAAAAAAAAAAAAAAGGATAACTCAACAGGAAATTTAACAGGTCATATACAACAAGAAGATAAAACAATGCCACCCACGGCGATAACCCAGCTTGTCCCAAGGACGTCCTAAGAAAAATCCATCGAAATATAATAGCATTTTAGAAACCATCCTCTTCTCCTCTCCCAAACCCCATCCCATCCATTTGAACATCTACAAATCCTTCGTCCTCTCATCACTCTCTCTTATCCACCTATTCACGCTCTCCCGATCCCTCACACGGAATCCAACCTTAAACAGCTTCGGATCCAACGTCAGCGACGTCTTGGTCGCATTGCACTCCAGCGCATCCAGAATCGGATGGTCCTCCGGGTTCTTGGCGGAAACCATGCGGAAAGCTGAAATTAATCGAATGAATGCGGTGTACAGTTCACGGTTGGCTAGATGAGAGCCTGCGCACATGCGCGAACCGGCACCGTAGGCGTAATGGGGGGTTCCAGTGCCGTCGCCGGTGTTGAGGTAGCGTTCCGGCTCGAAGAGGTGGGGGTTCTTGAAGTGAGTGTCGTCGTAGTCGGCGGCGTAGGCGTTCTGGGGTTAAGGGGTATTCGGTCAGTTATATCCAGGGAAATGGATTGGGGTTTGGGGTGAGGGGTGAGCATGTGCGTACCATGAAGAATGTAGTGCCTGCTGGAATGATTGCGTCTTTGTATGGGATATCTTTGATGCTGACACGGGGCAAACAGATGGGGATGACTGTGTAGAAGCGGAGGATTTCCTTGACTAGAGCGGTGATGTAAGGGACCTTTTCTTCGACCAGGCATTTTTCCCAGGCGTCTCCGTCTGGGTATACTCTCATGATTTCGTTGTAGGCCCGAGTTTGTATTTCTTGGCCGTGGTCGGAAGCGAGATAAGCAATGCCCATGATCAGATTTCCGGGGACGGTGTCGAGACCGGCAGATACCATAGTCAGGCAGATGGATCTGATTTCGGCTACGGAAGTAATTACGTGTTAGAAAACGTTCGAGATACAAATTTACAGGATAGGATACAATTGCTGTGAATGGTTCACTGACCTTCATTTAGCTTCGCCTCTGGATCCTTCAGAATATTACCAGTAATACATGGCTTGTCCGTGCCATTCTTTATTCTCTCTCTGAGCATATCTAACAAGAGAGACAGATATTTATCTCTTCGTGATCGGAATTCCTTTGCCTGCGCGTTACGACTTGGCCACAGTCTAAGCAGGGGAACATAGTCCTGCCAGTTGTTGCTCGTGCTCCTGAAATTACTGACAATGCGCTCAACATGGCAGATCTCCTTGAGCAGCTCGTTGTCAATGCTTCCATCAATGCGGATTCCGTAGTTCAACGTCAAGCTCGTGTTCAGCGCAAAGCGCTGGAAGTATGCGTTGGGATCAATATCTACCGTTCCATCCTTGCTGTCATTTAGAAGTTCTTTGATGCTGACGTTAGATTCCAGATCAATGATAGGCATGTATGATTGTACAGCAGGACGATTCAGTGCGGTAGCGGCAGCCTTCCGACGTCTTTTGCACGATTCATCCCATGGAGATGTACCGATGGTAAAACCTTGGGAGCTAGATACGACGGTGTGGAAGGTATGCAATGTTGGGCGGGAGATGAGCGCGGATTGGTGGGTTATCCAGAAATACTTGACGGAATCAAAGGTATTGGCAAAGACGATTCTCTGAAGCAATGGTAATTTCATATCAATATCTGTAGGTAGGATTTTTACCGCCACTACACACGGGATGAACAGCGCACCTTGTTTCCCAGTCGAACTTGAAACACCTCTCCATATGTCTTTACCCATTCTGCTGCTCTTTTGGCATGCTCGTCACCCAGTTGGATGAGATTCCCAAATATAGGAATGCCTGGGACTTCAGTCAGGTTCTTTATCTTGGAAATATCTGTTTGGTTCAGATATCTGAGCAGGAAAAGGCCGACCGCAATTACGGCTAATGCAACGGTTTGGAGCCCCATATTGATGTTGGTTCGGTTGGAGGTATACAGATCAGACGGGATGCTAACAACGCGAACAGTATTAAATGGTAGAACGGACGCCTTGAAACATTTGAATACAAGGCTGAAGGGCTCTGTTTGAACCGTCGTGCGCTAAGCCAAGGGACACCCCAAAGGAGGACAACCGTCTTCTAGTGCAAAACCATCATGGGGTCGCAGCGCAAAGTATATATATATATACACACGAACAAAACAACCCAGCACACACCACTTCGGCGGTCTCTGAACTCTCTGCAGGTCAGTCACATCGCCGTTCTTCCGTGTTTCAAAAGTCGCTTGCTGTGACTGGCTGGGATGGCCATCGCGCATTCAATTCCGCGCAACCAAGCTATCAAGCTATCCACAAACAGCTAGATTGGATCAACAGCCGAATATTAACCCAATGCTTACCGCCCAAAGGTTGCGGGGGGTATATCGGCTGGTGCTATTTTGCGGGGTAATTTCTGCCGTCACCCTGAAATTGTTGTGTTTGGAAGGGTTTGCCCCGCGCCCGGCTATATTCGGCTGGGAGAGGCTATTTCCGCGCTCGGACCAAGAGCGGAAACATCGCCTCTGTTCCTGGGTCAAATATCGGCCCGTATGCGATGGTTCGTATCGGCCATGGGCTGCTGCGGGCGTCTTGCCTCTAGCTCCAAATGTAAATAAATACACGAGTCATTATTGGAAGCCAGTTCTCCGGCCTTGCCCCCGTCCTCTGAGGAAACCGGGCAGCCGCGCCGTCTGGAAATTCACGTTGGATAGATTCTATTTATCCTGCACTGGTATTTCAACTACATCATTGATTATATTTTATGGTCCCAATGGGAATGGACCCTGCCCGTACGTAGCCTATGTCACCTGTGCATCTGGTTCAAAACCGTCTGTTAAACAAGTTGAAAATGGGACAAGCTGGGAAGAATTTCTTTAGTCTACCGGGTCCAAAAAACCAAAGAAGCACTAAACGTTATCCTTTGATGCTAACTTTTTAACATGTCAGCTGCCCTTATATTAGTAGATTGCACAAAAAGTATTTTTCTGGAAAACTATTAAATAAGAGTATACGTAGAGTACACTAACTTGGTGGGAATCCTAAGCATCAATTCTGATTTCATATATCTGAGCCCATACCACTGATATCTTCATCTAAAATTGAATACCTATTACAGATAATCCGACCTGCCATATCTGTGAGCTGCAGGTGCATCTCTTCCGAAGCTGACAAGAGCGGTCTCGCTGGGCAGAAAAAGTAGCAGTTCACACAGCTTGGACCTTCCGAATCATTGACAACGACTCTCTGCCCCTTGCACCTGCCTACACCCAGGTCGGAGCATAAGGCAGCAGAGGCAGGAGCGCCTTAAAGGCTAGGCGGGCCGACTGGCTTGCAGAAAGGGAGGGCAAACACTCCACGGGAAATAATCCAGATGACTTGCCAGATTCGGATACGTGGTAGAGCTTTTGCTAGATAAACATGGGGGAAAGGAGCGCTTTGTTCATCCCAGAAGCCAGCAGCTTCCTTTTGTGCAAACACACTTCCCATTCTTTCCTTCATTGAGAAAGTGTTCGTATAAATTCTCACCTTTACCCGTAATCTTTTCCCTTTCTCTTCTTTTTTTCTTCCCCCTTTCCTCGCCATTTTTCTTCACAAATAAATAGGTGCGTATCAAACTTCCCCAATCCCGCCCCCAAAAAGCCAATGAAGAACAGCCATGTTTACAATCTCGACGTTTGCTGGAGCTGTAGGTGTTTGCATCCTCTTCTTGGTGCTCCTCCAGCACCCCTTAATGATAGCCTGGCTCCAGCGACGATTTCCATGGCTGTAGCCGCAGATGGAATCCCCACCAAAAAGTAATGTCAGGGTCTTAACAACTGGAGGAGGCTATTCACTTTAAGAGATGGGTCATATAACCAACGTGAAGTTACGAACTCCAGGGTTGCGTGCCTCAAGTGAACCTTCTATTCAATGGTTGAGGTGGTGGCAATCCCTAAAGATCGCCGCCGGCTCCAGGAAGAGGTACCCTCCGTTTTGTTAGGCGCGGCTCACGTCGATCAGGGTGGAAGCATGTTTGGCGAGAGGTGGGCACCAGCAATGAGTCCGCACTTCTACGTAGTGCTGGTGACTAGTAACACTTTGTGGTGAAGCTACGACGGACTCAATATGTCGAATTCCGATCTCACTTTCCTACCAGTAAACGGGACAAAATCATCTGTCCTTTGTGAGATAGGGATAGACCGCGAGTGCTAGGCAATCGGCTACGACTGTAGATACACAGTGATATTGTGGTGGTTTTGCTTGAACAACTTGCTATTCCAAACGGCGAACTATAAAAGCACCCCCCACAGAAACCTTGTGCATTCTTTATCAGAATGGCAATTATGCAGTGGATACACTGTTTGATTTTTCCAAATATTATCTGCAGGTAGTGTTTCCCGTCCTAGGTTCCGAACTGTCGGAATTGAAAGAAGTTCGGCAAAAGGCAGTTTCCTGGACCTGCATTTGAGGTAAATTGACCTATCACAGTAGTTGCAACACAGTCTCCTTCTAATTACCTCAGATGAAATATAATCCGTCTCCTCTTCGGCTGAAAATTTCGCAAACCTGAAAAGTACAAAGGAAGTATCAACTGATATATGCGGGCACAAAAGTCGGGATGTGACCTGATTCGCAACGGAACGGCCGGCGATCAAATAGACGGTGTGTTATATACAAATCTTCATCTGCTCAAATATTTGCAACGACTCATGTAAAAAAACCTTTTGGCATGTTACTGAACTTGAGTCGATGAATCAAATTGACTTTGTCCCATAATGTTATGTTCACACCGGGACACAAACTCACGATACCACCTCCACGTCCAAGCTTACAGACCGTCTTCTCTGGTTTAGTTGGGATAGCAAAATTAGAAACAAATGGCTGATAGGATGCATCCTAAGACACATTGAACAGCAGCACCTTTGGTCGTCCTCCAGAAAGCGGAAAAAACCTTCCATCAGCTGGAGCACCACGTCATTTGCGTTAAACAAAAAACTAATTATTCGGCACTTGTAGGTGTCTAGCGGAGACCCACATTTGCTCAACGGGATGCACATTTTGGTAGAACTTTAGAACACACTTACATGTAAGCGCTAGGCAGGCGAGTGACCTTATATTTGATAAGGGGAAAGCCTGCATAAAGTGAAATGATAATACAAACACAACATAGAAGCGGGTGATATCTGATAGTCGATCGACATCAAAGGAAAAAGAAATGAAAGGGAAGGTAGGAAAAGTATTTTCACCAACAACAGGCGCGATGGCGGAGTGGTTAACGCGAGAGACTAGAATATGACTACTTAACTGTAGTTAGTAAACAACAACAGTTGCTATTTATCTCTTCTCTTCGGAGGCGTAGGTTCGAATCCTGCTCGCGTCGAGTACGTCTTTACCATCTTGGTAAGATACTTGTTACACATGAACTGGTTACTAATTATTTTTCTCCTTTTGTTTTGGATTTGAGAAATGATACAAACTTATTGATATTGAGGGGAAAGAGGTCTGGATGTATTATGTGAGATCAGGAGGCCGTCAGGGCAACGGCTAACTCACATACGTCCCAACAAGTTTTACCTTAACTCTTTTGAGCCACAGAGCATCGCAGGAGAGTCATCCCAGATACGTAGACAGCAGATGCAGGCTTGCAGTACCTCTACTCTATTCTATTAATATCTCACCGCCAGTGTGATAGCCTGAAACCTCTTCTCCATCAGTCAACATGACTGCGCAGCCCACTGGCAAAACATTTGCAGAGGAAAACGGAAGCCAGACAGTGAGAGACATGCTTCAGCAGACTCCTTTTCACTGATAATCAATTGACAGGTAAACATCCTCAAGGCCTTTGGAAAGAATGACCACATTCTCCTAGCCGGAGGAGCCCATGCCTTTGCAATAAATACCAAACCCCTATGAGTGGGACACTGAACGAAGAGTTTTATCTCCGCCAACCACCAGTCTACCCCGAGATACTGTATGACAATCATAGTATGCCAGGTCCCTCAATGAGAAGCTAACTTTGGAGACTAGCTCTCGCATGAACCGATCCACCAAAACCAGAAGTGTGAGCATGCTGAGTCACTTCAGAATCCACTTGAGCGTCTTGGTCACCCGCCTCCCGATGAGAAAGCAGTAGACGGAAAACGAAAGGAAACTGACCACCCTCCAACGCACCTATGGAACAAGCGACTTCGATCTGACAGCTCCGTCAAATATTGGATACGACATAATTATCGGTGGCCCAAGCAGTCATTGGAATGCAACTTGATCAGCGATCCACAACGGGCCAAATACAAAGATCGAAGTTTTGATCGGAGCAGCAGTGTGCACTGGGGGGCCCACAAGGGACGGTAGTAACTCGTACCAAGCTGAAGGAAGTTGTTTGTCGCAAAATTGAAGTTGGCCTACAAGGTGCTGCCAGCATGATGACGCAACCTTAAAAAAAAAATCTTAAGGGAATGCCGGAGGATGACCACTCTGCCCGCCATCGTAGTCATGCTTTTGCGGCAAATCAAGCTCGATCTATTATTGATGGTTAGTCACACGTTCTGCTCGGTGGGAAATTCAATATATCTAAGTCTGGAGAAGCGAAGAGGTACCTGTATATAAATTATTTTCTTGTGAGACATGTTGGAGCTCGAACGCTTTGAACGGATTGAGTAGATTAAGCGGATATATTCGAGCGAGGAGCAGACAGAGACACCATTCTTCACATAGGTGACAAGCTAACATCCATCTGTTGTCAAGCAAAGGCTGGAAAATACGGCTGGAGTGAGAAGGGTGAAATAATGAACTCGTTGAATACTGAAATACCTCGAAATTCAGAAAAAGAGTACTAAATTTTGGAACAGCTATCTTTTGATCAACTTAGAAATAATAACAACGCATGGGATAGAAAAACGACACTTTCCTTTTTTTCTTCTTCTTTTTTTTTATTTTCTTCTTCTTTTTTTCGCCTCATATTTCAAATTGTTTCACATGCATAGATGTCGACTTCAATGATGCTTTCTTATAAGACACCCCTATCGCAAAGTACACGCGCCAGCTTTACCTGGATTATGACTGTATACAACCGCCCCATAACAGTGTTCGCACCCACAGAAGCGGCGGGTCTACAAACCTCTTTGGGTATCCAGCCCCCATTTTACCTCCACACTGCATAGCGTAAACGACTCTCCCAATATGGAGCAGAGTTGCCATTGCTACACAAATGACTACAACCACGAGATTGTTCATCACCTGGCCACAACGTCACCTGTGTGGACGGCAGAAATGTTGCGAGTAACAGCTTAACTCAGACATGAAGATTAGGGTTGACCGTAAAGGACGAAGAGCCATATAGGAATTGGGCATCGTGCCAGAAGGTAGCCCCCGAATATGTTGCGACTAAGCAACAGGCGACAAGAGAAACATGGCCTTGAAAAAATCTTGTTCGGGTATTACGTAACGTATTTTTACCACGGCAATGCGAGAAGGGTATGTTCACTTCTCCAACAGGTGTGTAAAATTTGCGTATAAGCATATTGGGTCCCGTATAATCTCAGTCATAGTTTCCGCCGATCTGACTTGCAAAGGCCGTCGAAACGCTACGTGCGTCATCATCATCGGTTGGATGGCCACGTGTGCCACGGGGAACACGAATGCTCGCCGAACTTCCACCAAAGATACTGCCGTTGTCACTGGGTCCAGGTTTGTATGGTTCTGCACGACCGCCAGATTCGACGTAGCGTTTTAAGCGGTCAGACTGGCTCATGCTTGGCTGTTTGTGCATATCGTGAATGGTTAGACCGGAGAGGCTAACGCCTCCTTGCCCAATGACACTTCCCGTGACGTCGGACTCGGTGGCTGCGACAGATTCGCCAGTTACACTTGGCGCAGTTTTCCCCCTGGATCCGTAAGCACGACGATGGCCTGGAAGCTGTGGCCACGGGTCGGCAAAGTTCCGGAACATGTGAGGATATCCGGATGGAATAGCAACCCCTCCGAGAGCAGAGGAGTGGACGGAAGAGACATCATCTGGAATACAGCTGGCCACAGATCCGGTATCGTGGTAGTCATTGCGATGACCATTCCTACCATTGACCATACCACTAGCCATATTGGAGGCATGATTATATGCCACCTGGAAACGCTGCGGTCCGCGGTAAGCCTGCTTCGGGCGGCTGAACTGGACAAGAGACACCTGCAAGTTTGATAGAGGTCCTTCTACCAGACAATTCTTTTCTTTGAAATGTAGCAGCAAGTAGTTCCACAGAGGATGCTTTGATAAAACCTTCGGGTTGCCCAGGATCACCAATCCATACTTCGCACGGGTAAGCGCAACATTAAGTCGACGTGGATCACTCAAAAATCCAATGCCTTGATGGTCATTGGACCTAACACAGGAGAGCACGATGTAATCCTTCTCTCGGCCTTGGAAGGCATCAACGGATGCAACCTCGATTTCTTTATAAAGCTCCTTCTTAAAAGTACCGGTAGCCTGCATCGAGCTGACAACGTAACTACGCTGTCCTTCGTACGGGGTGATGATACCAATACTGGATGGCTTCACACCAGCTTTGAAAAATCTTGTCACAATTTTCTCCACATTGGCGGCTTCGGTGCGATTGAGGTAGGACGTTCCAGATGCAGAAATTTCTTCATTTCCTAGGTTGGACCAGAACATCATAGGATTGTGGGCGACAGGCCAGGGAAAGTCAACATCCTTCAAAAGACGCTCGGATTCAGTGACACCATTCTGCAAGGAGCCGTCGTAGAACATGTTTGACGGAAACTCAGATAGACATGGATGCATACGGTACTGTACGTTGAGTCGAATCGGTGCACATCCCAGAATGACCAAACGTTCGAACAAAGACTGGTTGAGCCCCGCCTTGGCTGCCTTTTTGTTCATGATTACAGGCCCAAGTTGTTGATGGTCACCAACAAGCACAACTTGCTTGCAGCCTAACACAAGGGGAATCATGCACTCAGGTTCCGCCGATTGAGTAGACTCGTCTATGAGTACGGTTCGGAATTTGAATTTTGCAAGGCGCGGATCGCCAGCACCAACACAAGTGCAGCAAATGACATCCGCATTGCTCAAAATCTCTTTCTCCGCTGCACGAACAAGTTGCTTGTATTTTTTCTCGTCCTGGCTAGACAACTCTCCCAATTCGGCCTTCAGCTGATTTAGTTTAACAAGTTCGATATTACTGTCGTTGTTATGAACCTGTTCGTGGAGGGAAAGGAAGCCAACAGGAGATTCAACATCCTCTCGTGACTTTGCAGTGACACGGACAGTCTTTAAGCCGGTCTTGTGAATCCGCTCGCAGAGTTGGTCGACTGCAACGTTAGAGGGAGCGCAGACCAAAACTTGCCCACCATTTATTTTTGCCAGATGGTAGATAATATTAGCAGAGGTGACAGTTTTACCGGTGCCAGGAGGGCCTTGAATCAAACTCAAGGGCTTCTGGAGAACACTTTTAACAGCATTGGTTTGGCTGCTATTAAGGTCGGGAAGGCCTGGAACACTAAACTTTTTGGGCATCTGGGTCCTCATAGGCCCAGCAGCGACCTCATTCCCTAAAAGCCGGTGGAAAATGTAGCCCGAAACACTCATCTCATCAACAGCAAATGTCTTCATGGCTAGTTGCATTCGATCAAAGGAAGTGGCCTTCCAGACATAATCAGCAGTAAAATTATGCGTGCAATCTGTGGGAACGGATTTGTGGTCGCCTTTGGTTCGCAACTCAATAGTGACCTCGTCAGACTGGTTGTTGGGTATTTTTATGACATATCCAACTCCGTCCCATTTAGGGCGTAACTCTCCCGTATATTTAAGACGCATTTCATCGCCAACGGCTAACTTCACATCTCCAAGTTCCAGTTTCGGGAGAACAAAGCTTGCGAGATGCTTGTTGTTCAACCCCAGATCCCAACGTACAACCAAACCATCTTGGGACTGGGCCTCTTTCAATTTGCGGTCATAGTCGGCTTCAATCTTCACAAGGGGACCGAAAACATTCTGATACTGGTATGCATCATCATAACGAAGAAGGACTGGCGCAGGCTCATCGTCAACACCTGTTGCCTTCTCTAGATCTTCAACAGTAGCCACGGCATTGTCTTTCCACATCTCCTCCAGCTTCGCAATCATTTGAGGCGTCAAATGCCGTGCCCGAAGTTGCTCTTGGTCAGTCGGAGAGCTTACAAGCCAAGGAAGAAACGAGCGGTCTTCGATAAGTGGTTGCCAGCGAGAAGTATCCCAATTCATATCTTTTGAAGATGGCATCGCAGCGCACGGTTGTCGGCAGAGCAGCACCACAACGGTGTCGGATTTTGCCGGAATAAAGCCAAGTAGAAAGACATTTTTCGTTCCACAATTATAGCACTCGAGAATTGTATCACCTAGTGATGATTCGGGGTGTAGTTGGACTTCCTTGTGTCTTGCTCTGACAAGGTGATTGACGATATGTGAGGACGATGTGTTGCCACGTGCGCTGCAAAACCACTTGGTGCATGTTAAACATTTCACAACGCTACTCGGGTTATGAATTCCACAGTACCTAGTAAAATGAGAGAACTCAAAATCAGTATTCCCCAGCTAGAAACCGTAATGCCGCTGATACATCCATCCACAGGACTGTTATCTCAAAACTTACGCGCAGGAGTGAGAGGGTAACTCCTTTTCTTCTTCCTGTTTAGCAGCAGGCGTCTTCCTGATTCCTTCCACTGGGACGCTGACCATGCTTTCCAAATCGTCATCTTCAAAATCATCTGATATCCCATCTTCATCGTCATGTCGCCGTCTTCGAGACCCGGCAGCCATGCTTAAGATGCTCTCCTCTACGTCAACTGCAGATGCGTCGTCACCAGCATTGATAGTAGAAGCAGAGTCCGAAAGCAGATGGCTCTCCATGTGAGTGAATGGCTCCATCATGAACTGTATATCAACAATTTCGCTAGTTTATCTAGGATTGGCAGTTTGTGAAGATGAATGATGAATCTAGTTTTGGAGTGCTGTTGAAACTTGCCTACAAAGGAATCAAAACAAGAGAAAGCACTATCACTACCAAAGAGAAAAATCTTAAGAAGTTAGCATCAGAAGTTTTGAATATTTGGTTTTCGATAGAGTCTTTCGGAAGCATTTGGAAAAGTTGCAAATTCAACTTGTGGTGAGAGTCATGACATAGCCGTTTGAGGGGAGCTCACGAAGAAATAGCCCGAAGGCGAAATAGTGACCCCGCCACTAACTTTCTCCAGTCAAGGACGTAAGCCACACAGGCACTCAAAACGACGAAATAGATGCAAATCGCTACTTGAGCAACGGGAGAGATGGTCCCCGATGGCCGGTGAATTTTACGGAGTAAGAA